ACACTATTACTTGAATATCTGTTTACCTTATTAACAAAATTAACAAAATTAGTGCAACGAACGTCTTCTAAGAAAATTGATTGAATCAATTGTCCAGAGGAAATGGTTTTAATCATAGGTTTAAAACCCGGTTCGGACATCAACCTGGAGAAGGGATCGAGTCAATGGGTTATTGGTTCAACCACTGGGTCACTGGTCGAACCGGTGATATAATAAAAAAATAAAAAAATAAAAAATAATTATTAATGATGATAAATAGACTAAAAAATTATAATAGTCATTAATAGTCATAAAAATAACATGTTTAATATATATTAAATCAAACAAAGTTATCAAGCTTGAATCACTTAATTGCATTCAATTAACAAACCAATGCATTCAATTAACAGCCCAGCCTCCACCCTCAAACCTGAATCACTTAATTGCATTTACTTAATTTTTGAGTTAACAAACATTCAAAAATTATCAAACCAATACATTCAATTCCAATACAATTTGCCTAATCTGCTATTAATCAAATCAAATATTCACTTAATTGCATTGTTCTTGAAATCAACTTCATAAGAATTCATACAAATCAAGTCTCAAGAGAAAGGCATAGCAACACGAAGCAAAAATAAAAACCATCAGTATCATTGCAAAACCATCAACGTGAAACAAAAGAAAAAACCAGCACCAACAACAACAAGCAAAAACCAGCTCCCAGAGCAAATATATATCTCTCTATATATATATAGAGAGAGAGAGAGAGAGAGAGAGAGAGAGAGAGAGAGGTACCTATTGTTGTGTCTTAGAGAATGAAATTCGTAGAGTTCGAGTGAGCAAGCCAACCACATCGCCAAAAGAAAGAGAAGACTGAATCAGAATAAGAGGTTAAGAGTAATCAAACCTTAAAATCCAACGATGAGGCAGAGAGGAGGACGAGAGATAGAGAGGAAGACAAGAGGTAGAGAGGAAGAGGAAGAGGAAGAGGAAGACGAGAGGCAGAGGCTCACAAAGACAAAGATCAGATTAGGGCAAATGAATTGCTGTTGGTGGAGGGTGGAGGCTGCTCGTGGATCGCTGGTGGAGGGTGGAGGCTATTGTGGTGCTGTTGGAGGATGTAGCAGTGTTTTAAAACCCGGCGGGTTCACCCGGAAAACCAGTGAATCGGTGCCTGAGCCGGGCCGATCCCTTAATTGGATCGGTCTAACAAATGGCCTGCTTGAAAACCATTCAAATCGACCTAAAATCGGTCATTTTTCATTAAACCCGAAAAATCGATCCTGATTTTCACAAATCCAACAAACCCATTGTATTGAAACTCAAACATAAAATATTAAAACTAAACTTCAGGCCCAAGCTTATACCAGACTCATCTTATTCAAAAGAGCTGACGTCAAGCCATCAAGTCTTAACCAGCAATAGTAGCAACGAGGAGAAACAACATTTTAGTTTTTTATAGGTGCACAGTCTTCATAACTCCCGGTGAGTTTCCGATGTGCGATAGACTAGTGCACTTAAACTCTCTTTGTTTTTTTTTTTTTTTATCACTTTTTCGTTTGGTTTTTTAGGCATCATATTATTACTATTTAAGTATTTATACTAAATATTCAATATTTCTTAGTGAATTATTTTATGCTCTATCAAATTATATCAATTATGTAAACAAATTAATGAATTGAGGATATTTTTTGTCTTTTTATTTCATTTACTATAACATAAAATATGTTATTTTTTGTAATATTATAATTTTTTAGCATATTTACCATTATTATTATTATTAATTGTATGACTGGTTCGACCGATTGATCCACGGTTGAACCAGTAACCCATTGATCCGGTTCTTTTGCTGGATTGGTGTCCGGGCCGAGTTTAAAAACTATGGGATAGAGGCTGGACTGTGGAGTGCGGACACTGAACGAATGATTTAGGATTTAGGGCAAAACAGAAGGGGAAAAAGAAAAAGGTAAAAAAATATAAAAAAAAGACATATTTATACCAAAGGAACAAAACCGGCCGATTTTATAAACCCGTCCGATTTTCACGGGTTGTCGATTTTTTGATCAGTTCACCGGTTTTATTCTGAATTCTTTGCTCAAACGATTCAATTACAAAATCGACTCGGTTAGGGGACCGATTTACCGGGTCAATCCGCCGGGCCGGGCCGTGCGAGTTTTAAAACACTGGTTTTAATACGAAAGTTGTTTATGCAATTATGCAAACACCTGGTTGGCATAAACTGTCGTCAAATAATATGGTAAATTATATCAATAGTCCCTCAAGTTTATCGCTTGTTGAATTTTAGTCCTTAAACTTTCATTTTCGTTAATTTAATCCTTAAAATTCAAACATTGGATTAACGTAGTCCCTCGCACTAACTTCTGTCAATATATTGATGGAAACTAGCATTTGGTTGGCACATGATTCCACCAAAGGATATTATGTCTTTAGGCTTTTAAAATAAAGGGTGTAAATGTAATATTATATGTAAAATAGATAAACTAAATAGAATATGATTTTATATAAAAATTCTGTAAACAATCTCTCTTCAATGGCAATTGCAACGGCAACGGCAATATCGACACCGCTACAATCGCCCACCACCAAGACCACCTCCTTATTCTGTCCATGGTTCTCTCTCTCTCTCTCACACACACACACGGTGCAACTCCCATCATTGCCCGTCCCATGACGTAGAGAAAATGGAAAACAACAAATAATTAAAATAAATGAATATTGCATACAAAGGGGAGGGAAAACCAGCCTGCTTATTGCTCTCTACAATTCACAATAACCTTCCAATCAGTTGAACAAGGTTTTTAAACGGGCACTGAAATCACCCTCCTTAACAAGCTGACCCAGCCAAAAACTCTCAAGACTTCCCAGACCTTTTTTCTCTTATCTTCTTATATTTTCTTTGCTTTTATGTCGAACACACTTTTCTTTTACTTTTACAATGGATGGCATGCTAGTGTTTTTGTATTTGCTCTTCTTATTTGTTGCTGTTAGCAGTAATAGCGATTTTTGGTGCTTAAAAGGTTTTGAACTGAAAAATATGACCACACCCATGCACACACACACGCATAGAGAGAGAGAGAGTTTTGTGGGTGGGTGGGTGCTCTGTTGGGAGTTGTGTGTGTGTGTGAGAGGGAGAGGATGAATAGGAAAGGGGAAGAAGAAATAGTGTGTTTGGGTATAGGTTTAGAATTGTTTAAAGGCGGAGTAAGGATGTTTGGACATAGGCCTAGGAGCAATGACTTAATTACCCTTTATAATGGTCACATGTTTGGCATGTGCTATTTTCCGATAATGATTTACACGGAAGTTAGTGTGAGATACTACATTAGTCCAATGGTTGAACTTTGTGAATTAAATTGATGAAATTGAAAAATTAAGGACTAAAGTTCAACAAATAATAAACTTCAAGGATTATTGATGCAATTTACCCCAATAATACGTAGAACAGAAACAACAAACCTACCTCAATGAAAGGGTCAGCTTGAGCTCTTCAAAGAGTTTTTCACCAATACAAGCGCGAGAAAATCGCAATGCTCAGAAAACTAATGCCACCCGGCGTTTTCTTCGCACTCATTTCCCTTCTTATATCACCACAAGAGTAGAGAAAACAATCCAAGTTGAAGAAAATACTCAAAAAAAAACCCTAGAAGAGAAGTGAAAAAGAGAGGAAAATGGCGAGCATGGCACTAACAACCACCTGTTCGAAATTCCAACACGCCAGAGCAATAATAGTGTGTAGCCCTTGGAGCTCTAGGGTTTTTGTTGGTGTTGCACCAAGACCTTTCCAGGTGGGTTTAATTTCCTACTATGTTCATTTCCAATACAATTTTTCATACTATAGGGTTGCCAATCCGGTGCAATCTGGTTGCCCAACTCAAAATATTTAGTAATTGCATTGTGATTGGGCAAAACACTCGGCACCACTTACATTTACACAACACTGGGATTGAGGTCTTAGTTTCCAACCTAAATTTGAAATTTGTAAATCAAAATCGATTCAAAATTTGAATTCTAATTTCCATCCAGAATTTAGATCCAACTTTATTACCTAGATTCAACCCGAGTTTAAAAATTTAAACATGAGTAATATGGTTGATGGGTTCAAGTTGAAATTTATAACTAGGGTTGAATCTAGACTTGTCTCTCAATTCCGTAATTGCATCCCAAATTGTTATCAACCGGTAGTTCAGTGTTACTAAAAAAACGTTTTATTTAGAATGGTAATGTTTATACCATTTAACAATTCAAAATATAAAAGAAAAAAGGGTAAATTACACACAGTCTCTCTAAACATAAGATCAGTTTCACGTGGCCCCCTCAAGTTTACGAATTCCACTTAATCCCCTCTTGTGAATAAACTGCGATCCATGACAGCCCTAACGGTTTTTGCAAGAAGACTAAAATATGTTTCATTTTTCTTCTAATTCCTTTGTAATGCCATCAATTCCAACAACTTAACACGCAACAAAACCACCGACACTAAGGGAGGGTGGGAGAGCTGTAGTAGGGGTGGGTTAGGTGGAAGAGTTGTAGGCCTATGGGATGGGGTGGAGGAGGAGATGGGGGTAGAGATGTTGCCGGTGGTGGGATCATGCATGTGAAGGTGTTGGAGAGAGAGGTGAGACAGAAGAGCTAATGCATTTGGCTGAAGGGGATCATCCAGTAATTTTTTTTGTTGGATAAAATTTGGATGAATGGTATAATTGGTCATTTAACTTTTTAATTTAGGAAAAAAATATTTATTTTATGCAATTACCATGTCGATATAATAAACAGATTCTATTAGATTTATAGTTTTTCACAAGTAAGAGGGGTTAAGTAGAACCCGTAAAACTTGAGGGGAGTGATGTGCAACTGACCTTTAGTTCAGGGAAGCTTTGCGTAATTTACCCAAGAAAAAAAAAATGTAATGATAGAGGATTTTGGTCACAATTAGTGCACTTTCTTGAAAAACAGGCAAGCTCGCGCCATGGGGACAGCTGCATATGATCCTGCTGCCGATGCAGCAAAACAAGCTGCCAACAAGGAAAGGAGGGTGCCAAGAAGTGAAGGATCATGCTGCCTCCGCTGCAGAAAATGTGAGATATTTATTACTTAATTTAATTTGCTGTAATTTCTGTTATTACTACTAATTATTTGTTCTAATTAACGTTTCGACAACCTATGGATTTTTTTTGTGTATAGGGACTGAGAAAAAAAAAGAAGTAGCCGGAGAAAGGTGTCGGAAACTGCTCAGGATTTGGCTGGTAAGGCGAAGCAGACTGCACAAGATGCATGGGGTTCGGTTAAGGATACGACCCAGAAGATAAAGGACACAGTGGCAGGCAAAGCTGAAGAATCAAAGGAAGCCATTAAAGATAATGCTGAGACTGTCAAGCGCAACGTCAATAATAACTAGTTTCATTCTGTTGATAAAATTTACGTGGTTCATTGAGCCGTAGTGGGAAGAAAGCCATTGCACTTGTTTTGTGGCTCGTTATGAGAGATGTTGTTTTCTTGCTTCAATTAAGTGAAATGGAGTTTGTCTAATAATATGATTTAACAGGTTAGAGGAAAGGGATTCAATCATGCGAGTTCTCTAATAAGTAGAGAGCTTTTTCCAAGCTGAAGAATTTGTTACAGGTTCAAATTCGTGAATCACTCTCTTCAAAAATGGAGATGAGGTTGTTTATCACTAACATCTGTCATTCGAGGCGCTAGATTTTGTAACGAGTAAGGTCTTTTGTAGTATGAGTAGGTTAGACTACTCCGTTTATATGATTATAAGGTTAAATTGACATATATAATAATGATGATGACACAAAAGTAAATTTATGTGTGACAAGATTGAGGGGCTAAATTGACATATATACTACTGATGATACACAAAAATAAATTTATGAGTGACAAAAATTGAGTGGTTAGGTTTGAGTGAGCTAACCACTGAATGGGACAACGGAGGATGAAGAACTCTATTAATGAGAGAGTACAAAGTAATTGAGGAGAAAAAAAAAAAGAACAATAGTACGCTTAAGGTGAAGTGCGAAAAATCTCTGTGTGGGAGATAATTGTGTCTCTTTATATGCAAAAGACTTACAATTTATACGCACAGAATTCTAGTTGAAGCGGTAATGTGAAAGTTAAGGTACCAGTTTATTGGAGAGAAAGCTACAATTGAGGATATGTGCTATCTTCGAGTAATAACTATTTCGATTTTTATTTCTTACGTGCATTGATCTTCTTGAACTCTTCAACTTTGGATTAGGCTGAGGTTATTAGCTGAGTTTGACTTACCTATGATGATTTAGGCTTAAATCACAAACTGGACCTAAACCTAATTTAAATCTAGACTCGTTAGTACTTTCGCTTAATTTTCAAAAGATAAAATTATTTGAGCTTAATTTACTAACTTAATCACTCTCTCCGGTTAGATTTACGGTGAGCCTCGATCCAAACTCATAACAATAAAATAAAAGAAATTTTATTTGTACTTAGCCTATAGGACTACTAATAATTAAATTTGACAGAAAAATCATATTTATGACTGGCATCCCATTTTATACTGAAAGTCGTACCAATTGATATGATTCTATAGGTAAAATTCATACTTAAATACATACATTTAAAATCATACATAACCGTTGTAAAGATAATAACATAGTAACCAACGACCCTACAGACATAATAATTTGGTAGTGATGGATTAATTGGATGCAACTCATCATTTTCTGACCAAGTATTGCTAATCCATGTCTTACATTGAGAATTTATGTTTAATGTTTCAGACACAATGACAGAAGAAGAAAGCAGTCATATTAATGACAAACAACAGATGCAAGTCCCACAAGGCTTCCTATTTGGGCACTGTTCAAATGACCACGCCTGTACTCCACTACTTTTAGGCGCGGAATAGTGCATTTTGACCTTAATTGAGTAAAAATCTATCTATTCGATCTATTACTAATCATGAATTTTAATATTAAATAGAATCTAACAATAATAATAATAATGAATTATATCAATAAATTATATAAATAGATTAAATAAATGATATTGAAAAAATAATTATTGACGATTGAAGAGAGATTGGTGGAAGAGCCTAAGCATTTATCTAAAAGCAGCATTAAAAATAAATTCTAACAAGTAGATAAGAGAATTTTATGAGTTTTTATTAGGGGTGCAAGTCGGATGGGTTGGACAGTCAATTCTAATTCAACTCTAGGTATATAATTTTCAATCCTAACCTTACCTCGGGTTGAGGTACTCAACCCGAGCACTGTATGAGTTTAATTTAGGCGGATTTGGATTGAATTTGAGTTAATAATTTCGAGCTATTTTACGGGTTCAAATCAGGTTGATTTCGAGTTGAGCTCAAAATAGATTTGTTATTCTAAATCTGATACATATATGAGATAATATTGACTTAAATTAACAACTAACAACTTCAATCAAATTTTTAACATAAAAATTATAATATTAAGAACTCAATGTTTGAGATAATGCAACTACAACTATACAAAACACAAATAAACACAACCAGAATCTTTGTACAAATATAAAATTCACTGCTTAAATAGTGAGTGAAGAAGGCGCACAATGAAGACTTTAGAACAGATTAACCCTAGACTTAATCTTCGAGTTCAACCCAGTAAACCGAGGCCCACCAAAATTGAATTTAGGTTGGAATTTTTTGACTCAAGTCTAACTCAAGTATTAAAAATCGTAGCCCAAGCCTTAATTTTTCAGGTTGAACTTGAGTTAAAAATCGAGTTTGTCCGCCCAAGTTGCACCCCTAATTCTTATGTTCATTATCCAAGTGTGGTGATCTATCATTCTTCATGGAGTTTATTAAAATACGAATTTAATTATTAATTAGATCCTCTTAATTAAAATTTCGTTTTTCCCATGGTCTTCAAATGCAATTCATCATTATAGATAGAAGATTGGAATGAAAAAAAAAGAAGAGAATTATAATTTGGAAGGAATTTTTTGGGTGATGGAAAAAAAAAATAAAATAAAAAATAAAGACTAAATGATATGACAATGATATAATTATATTTTATCATAATTTTATTCATGAGAAGATAATTTTTTTCCTACTTTTATTTGTCAAAAGTCTAAATTTAATCTATAATGTCAGTATCAAATTATTTTGTACTCACTTTTTATTCTTAATTTTTTATGAATTTATTACCAAAATACAACATTTTTCATAAAAAATACCGATCTATCGCACTTTTAAACTTATTTAATGATGAAAGCGGAATGAACAATTCCACATTCAACAAGTGATACAACTAAAAGGAAAAAAAAAAATTGTGTAAGTATTAAAAGTGTGTGGTTGATCCGGTGAACATAAAATTATTGATCCGCTTTTAAAATTGTAATAGATCAGAAAATAAGTTTAAAAATGGGATAGATCAAATTTTTGTTTTAAAAAAATACTGTAGTTTAGTAATAAATTTAATTTTTTATCATGAGTTTTTATAAAATGCACGTTTTTTTGTGCACAATACCTCTTACATGGATTTGTCAGACGTTGTGTGGGGCCGTCTACAATGTCCGTGATTATTATACGGCGAGATTTAATGGCAACGAAAAAGCTCGTGGCCCATTTGCACGTGATATAACCCAAAACCCATCACGAATTCATGAGAAATGTTTAGGTGGCAATGTATTATAGGTCATCACACCGCTTCTCGCACCTACTGTGACTATTTTAGATAATGACGAAGTTTTTGAAACGGAAGAGCAGTTTATGGATAGATATATACACATAGATACACAGAGAGAGAGAGAGAAGGGAATTGTGACTTTGTTATACGTCAAAATGTATAGACACTTAGCAACAAATAAAGAGGCCCGCCGTTTCACCCACGAATCCAGACAATTCTGTGAAAAAGAAAAGAGCCCAGCGGTCCAATATTTTTGTCTCTATCTCCACGTAACGGAAAATGCTATACAACTTAAATATATATTTATAATTTTTTTTTGTGTTTGAAAGAAAAAAAAAGAGAGGAAAAAGAAGAATGCCTTGAAACTATTCTGATAAATTTTCATTAGTGGATCATGAGGGAATTTAGTTAGGTTAATATAATAGTCAATCATGAACTTTAATATAAACTTCAAGACTTGAATTTTAACCTCAAGTTGAGAAATTGAACGATACCCTACTGAATCACCACTTAATAATAATATATATATCATTTTTTAAATGAGTGTTAAATGAGTGGTCCCTTAATGAGTGTTAGATGGTTGGATTTCCCTAAAAAAATCATTAAACTAGTAGATTGGATGATATACATGTGTTGTAAAATTTTTTTTGGGGCATTACTTGTACATAATCTATAGTTTTAGAGAGAGAATTGAGCAGCTTATCAGCTATGATACATGAGTAGTTTTAGGAGGAGAGAATAGAGCAACTTATGCACTATGATGAATCTATGATACATTTACATTCTCCATCTGTGTCTTGAAAAAAAAGGCTGGCACCGCTGTCAGCGCCATTCAGAGTGAGAACGTATGGCCACGGGCGTACAATCCGGAGATGAGTGGAGAAAGTAGCGGCACAAACGTTTTGTTTTGGTTGTTTCTCTTTTTTTTTTTTTTACTCTCTCATCTTTTAAGTTGAACTTTAAACCAACTCTCTCTTCTCTTTCTCTTACTAAATAACAAAACCCCACGAAACGATTTGAACTTATC